GAGATTTATCCCAGGAACATAATGGTGTTCCTGATACATAAATAATTCTAGGTAGTACAAAACATCAGTAGGATGAAGGAGGGGAGGCACAACATGATTATCTCAACTGAGGCAGAAAAAGAAAAGCATTTGACAAAACTCAACACCTTTTCATGATAAAAACACTAAAAAAAACTAGGAACAAAAGAGCACTTTCTCAAAGTGATAAAGAGCCTATGAAAAAAACCCACAGCTAATATCATGCTTAATGGTGTAAGACCAAAAACTTTCCCCTTAAGATTAAGAACAAAACAAAGGTGTCTACTCTCAATATGTCTATTCAACACCATACTGGATGTTCCAGCCAGATAATTAGATAAGAATAAAGATATCCAAATTAGAAAGAAATAAGTAAAACTATATTATAGATGACATAATCTTACATGTAGAAAATCCTAAAGAAGCTACACATGCACACAAAAACGACTAGAGCTAATAAATTCAGCAGTTACAGGAGACAAGATGAACATACAAAAGATGAACATACAAAAATCAGTTGTACTTCTGCACACTAACAGTTAAGAATCAAAAGTTAGACTTAAGAAAACCGTTCCATTTAAAATAGCATCACAAATTATAAAATACTTAAGAATAAACTTAACCAAGAAAATGTATAACTTGTACACTGAAAACCACAAAACATTGTTGAAAGAAATTAAAGAAGATCTAAATAAGTAGAAAGACCTTCTATGTTAATGAATTGCAAGACTTAATATTATTAAGATAACAATACTCCCCAAATTGATCTATAAATTCAACATAACAGCTTTCAAAATTCCAATGCCTTCTTTAGCAAAAATGGACAAGCTGATCCCAAAACTCACATGGAATTTTATGAGAGAACTTGAATACTCAAAACAAACATGAGATCTCAAAATCTCACACTTCTCAATTTCAATACTTGATAGAAAACACAGTCATCAAAACTTTGTGGTACCAATAAGAAGAAACACATACAATGCAGTGAAACAGAACTGAGAGTCCAGAAGTAAACCCATACATCTATAGTCAACTGATTTTCAACAAGAGTACCATGACCATTCAATGGGAAAAGAACAGACTTTTGAACAAATGGTGCTGGAATAATTGGATTGCCAAATAAAAGAATGAAGTTGGGCCCTTACATGATACAATATATAAAATCAATTTTATATGGACTAAAGACCTAAATATAAGAGCTAAAACTATAATTCTTAGAAGAAAACACAGGGGAAATCTTCATGACTTTGCATTTGGACATGGATTCTTAGATATGAGGCCAAACACACAAGCAGCAGCAAGAAAAAAATATTAGACTTCATCAAATAGTAAAACTTTTGTTCATCAAAGGACACTATTTAAATAGAAGGTAAAAAGACAACCTACATAATGGGAGAAAATGTTTTCAAATCATATGTATAATAAGATTCTAGTATCCAGAATATGCAAAGAACTTTTAAAATTCAACAACAAAAAGACAATCAACCCAATTTAAAAATGGGCAAAGCATGTGAAGAGACACTTCCCCAAAGAAGACATACAAATAGTCAATAATTACATGAAAACATGCTCAACATTGTTAGTCATTAGGGAAATGAAAATCAAAACCATGGTGAGATACTACGTAATAGCCACTAGGATGGCCATTAAAAAAAATGGAACTAACAAGTGTGAGCAAGGATGTGGAAAAATTAGAATGCTTATCCATAATGGTGATTTAAAATGGTGGAGCCACTGTGGAAAACGGTTTTGTCGTTCCTCAAAACATTATCATAGTATTATCATATGATCCAGCAGTTCCACTCCCAGCTACATACCCAAGAGAAGTGAAAACAGACCTTGAAACAAAAATTTTTACACAAAATTTCACAGCAGCACTCATTATTCATAATAGCCAAAAAGTGGAAACAACCCAGAGTCTATCAGCTGATGAATGCATAAACAAAATGTGGTATAAACACACAATAGAATATTATTCAGCCGTAAAAGGGAATGACATATCAATACATGCCACAATATGAATGACCCTTGAATAAATTATGCTAAATGAAAGAAGCCAGACATCAAAAACCATATATTGTATTATTCCATTTATACTAAATGTCCAGAATAGGAAAATCCAGAGAGACAGAAGGTAAGTGCTTGACAGGACGTATAGGAAAGGGATATAAGAAATAATTGCTTCTTGGGTACTGGGTTTCTTCTGGAGTGATGTAAATGTTCTGGAATTAGCTGTAACGGTTGCATATACTGAAAGCCACTGAATTGTGCACTTTAAAATGGTTAAACTGGTGAATTTTTTTCAAAATTCTTTTTTCAGAAAAAGTTCAACAGTTTTGGGTTTTCCAGAAAAAATAAAAAGCAGCCAAGATTTTAACTTAAGAGAGACGGGTGTGTTTTTAAAAACCCACCTCACAAAAGTTGTGATGATTTTGTTTCTTCTTGCTCTTATTTTTTTATCTCCAATAACTTGAAATTGGCCCCCACTAAAAGAGTGTCTTTTAAAATTTACTTCTGACCTACATTAAAAACCGGCATAAATAAAAATATACATGTAAATGAAATTAATATAAAACTTACACTTCTTTGAAAAAAAACATATGTTTTTAACTAAAATGACTAACCTTCCTTTTAAATAGTAGTTATAAATCCCAAATGGAATTTTGAAAATAATACCTAATCAACTGTTTTGTGTAACACAGTTGTAGTATTTGAAAAGCTGAATGAAATGTATTGCTTAAAAACTAACAAGTATAAATAAAATGGAGTTATTTTTCCTAAAAGAAATATATATATATGTCCAGGTTAATTTCCTTAACATGCAAAAAAAGAAAAAATGCCTGCATGAAAACAAGTTCTTTCTTCTATTTGATTATTGTGTCAGAAGTTAGCATTAAAATTTAACTCAGCAGGTAAAACTTAGTTTTATTCTAAAATAAATGGTACAAACCTTGAAAACACATGGGATTAAAAAAAAGTAAGAAATACAAATAATCACACTACTTTACTATGCACAGTAAACTTTGCTAAAGAGTTTGGATGTATCCGTATCCATTTTTACCACCCCATAGAAGAGCCTGGACCCTCCTTCTGTACTCTTCTTTGTTTCATCAAAGACAGTAAAATGCCAATGTAAAGTCCAAGGTAGCTACAAAAATAAACCTGTTGAACTCTGGCATGAAGACAGGTGGGCCTGCAACTTACTGAGAACTTCAGAGGTCTCTCTGGGCCACCTCCTTATCACTCATTCATTTTCACGCATACCTCACAGAAAAAAGAATTAGCCCCAGTTATCATTTGCCTTTCCTCAGTTTTCACTTCAAGCTTGAAAAGTAATTGATAACTTTAAAATCACTGTATTAATAGAATTTTCTAAAGACATAAATGAAAATAATTAACTATTAAATCTGAAGAGAGAAAAAGCCATACAGCAAAGGTAAATCTACAATAGCTATAGGCCGGTTTTACAGACAGCTTTCTTTCCATATGACACAAAAATCAAAGATGAACTACAACTGAAGAACTGTATGATTATAATCATCCTGCTGCAGTCAGTCTTTATTATATTTAAACAATATATTTTGCCATTTTCATAAGAAAAGAAGGTACAACATTTAACATTTCATATTGATGATGGTTTTTCTCTGATGTCAAAGTTCATTCCTCAAGTTAGCTGCTATCTAACTTTTTTTTTCTCCAACTGGGATGATGAAAAAACAATTGGATTTCAAAATCACCTTAACTATATAAAAGGGTGTGCCATGTATATGACGTAATTGACTTTTCTATACATCAAGTTCAAAAAAACATACCAAAGATGTCTCTTTCACTGCAAATCTAAATTTCAGATTTGTGGCACATGTGAATTTAATGTGACTATATTTAAACTATACTAACTAGCTAAACTTTTTTAAATGGGGAGGGGGAGAAATCATAGTTTCAAAGAAGCTTAGGAAATAGCACTCAGATTATTTTTTTTTCAAAATATTTTTGTTGACAGGAAATAATGCTGGTCACTTTCAAAATATAAAAGGATGTGAGGCTAATTGTTTTTAAAATGTTAAAAGGCATTAATTATTAGTTTATTAATTTTTATATAATATGCCCAAGGTTAGTTTTAGGGTATTTTAAGTGATTTATAAAATGATATTATATAAGCTAATTGATTCACAAGGTTATTCTAAATATGATTCATTCATAAATTCCATATATCTTTAAAGTACTCGATGTTTACATTTCCAATTAGTTGTCTATCAGACAGTAGCAGAAACACATGAATAACATTTCTCTACTCTTGAACAGTGAAATAATGAACGCATCTTTCAATGTGGAATGGAGTGCTAACAAAATACATGGTCAGTAAATATACTATGTTTTTACTAATATCATAATACTTTTATATGCTGTTCATCACTATAAATTAAAAGTCAGAGTTTATCATACAGAGGTAATTAAATTTGAAAACAATAGAATATATTAAATAATTAAATTTCTACTTTAAGAACATATTCTTACAAGTAAGAAAGAAAATTTCAATTTGAATAACATTACCACCTAGTTTACCTGTATGAGTATTACTAAATAAAGTATATGTTTCTCTCTATACATATATATATGTAGGACCCTTGGTTTAAGAGTGGTAAGAGGTTAGACAGTGTGGTCAAACATTTTATCATTATGAGACATGTAAGAATTTTAATGGCCTCTGCTTTGTCCAGCAAAGACTGCAAATAATTCCAAGTGCAATTACACCAGTTTGGGGAAACCATTATTTTCATAGTTTTATTAGGTATATAAAGTGAATTCTGAAAAAAGCATTCAATATAGCACTAAGTAATGGAAATTTCCAGTCATCTGCAAAGCATCCTTTTGTTAATTTATTTTTTAAGTTACAAAATGAATTAGAATATTTTGTGGTTAATAAAAATAATGACTAGGTGTCATGATACAAACTGAACAATATTAAATAAAAATTACAGTACCTTGTGAAGCGAATTTTCTACTGCTCTCATGTGATTAGCAACACATTCTTTGTCTCTAGAAAAAATAAAAGAAAGACTGTCAGTAAAACTCAAACCTTATTACAACCGTTACACATTTTAGTATAAGTCACTAGTATTAAAAAATAAGGGTCTTATATCATTGTTCTTTTATTTTTTTAATTTATTTTAACTTTTTAAATTTTGATTTTTGAAGTCATTGTTCTCTTTTAAAAAGTAAAAAACTAATCATTTTCACTGACATATTTCCACATTTAACTCATATCTTAAATTTTGTTGCCTGTCCTAAATTGGGGTAGGGGAGAATAAAAAGGCAAAAAAGTGAAAAACAAAGAAAAAACTCATAATTATATTATTGATAATTTAAAATGTGCTGTAAATGGTAAAATATTATTATTTCATTTCTAATGAAAAAGACTTTTAAAATCTTAGCAATGGGGATATATAATAAATAACCATACTATGCAAAATAATATTTTCCTTTCTATACAGTCTTTTTATACTATAATAATTACACAGAAATCTCCTCCATGACCTGTCTAGGAATATGCAAAGTTACTAGTTTCTCTTATCAACCTGGTATATTGAATTTAGCCTTCATAATGAAATAAAAAGTTTGAATGAAAATATTGAAGATAAAAATCTAATTGTAAATTGAAATTGAAAACTGTAAATAATGTATTAGTTCTCCAGATTTCAAATTAGCTTTCTTTAGTTTTATAAAAACATGTGCCCATGGTCACAGATCATACACATGTCAAAATACTGAATTAGCAGCAATGTTTTGAAAACACAATTTGAATCTGGAGGTTTTATAAGCCTGTTTTCATTCATCTCAGAAATTTCTCAGTGCTATAAGACTCACTGGAAATTACATGAGCTAAGCCTCTCATTTGACATGATGAAACTGAGACTGAACAATAACAACAAAAACTGATTTAGTCAAACTTAAATTTTAAAAAATGACAAATACCTTATATGGTGGTACAATGTTATATAGTTTTACAATGTTCAAAAAAACTATCAGTGGTTATTCAAATATGCCAATATTTTGGACTTGTGTCAATTCATATTTTCATTATGTTTGAGCAATGTCACAAACCCAGTGGCAATGCTTATGAATATCCTAAGATTGTGGATTCCTTGTTCAGTGATTTATACACAGTCTGCAGTTTACAAACTATATTCATATTTGATGATATCTTATGCTTGTCTCAAAAAATGTTTAATTAACATATATATTTTTGCAAGTCAAGAAATTCAGAATTCTAAATTTAGAAAACAATTGAGTTTATCAAAATTAGGTATTTCTTTAATCCTTAAAAATAGATTTTCTTTAAGCCATGCTGTTGTACAAAGAACTGTCTTAAAGTATTCCATGAAATTTGATATGAGGAACAAATAAAAAATGCCCAAGAGAACTGTTCAATGTGAACTTCATAATGTATGTCAACTTGATTACCTGGTTAAAAAAAATAGCAAAAACATTCTCATCCCATTTACATAGTTGTCTACTCTGAAAACTATATTTTTTCTACTTAACATATTAGAATATACAGTTATAAAAATTAAATGAGTTTTCCATGATCAATGTGGTTTTTACTGTATTTTTTAAATGCTATGATACACATGCTGATTGTATGCTAACATTTCTTTATGAAAATATTACTCGCAATATTAGTATATAATAATATATGCAGAGCAAAATTTCGGGGACAGTGGGGCAGAAGAGGATAGGAATGTATAACATCAGATACTATGAAAAACTTTTAAATAGAGTCTTACATTTCACATTAATAAAATATAGTTTCTAACATGTAACACTATAACAGAGCCCAAAATAAGCATAATTAGCAGTTATACAGAAGTTTATACTTTTCTGAGGTTTCTCAATAAAATATACATTTAGTATGTTGAGTTAAGAGTTTTCTTTTTTGAGGATATATCAGAGAATTTCAAAGAAAGACAGCTGTACTTTTGTTTTCTAACACTGTATTATCCAGGGCTAAAACCCGGAGCATGAAAGTAAGAATTGATCTTTTGTCTGTTTTAAGTGATCTCCCCAAGGTCCAAATGCTCACTTGGCTGCCATGCGGAGGGCACTCTCTGCATCATGGATGTTCTCCTCCAGTCGACGCTTGTCCTGCTCCAGCTGGGTAAGATGTCTATTGAGCTGACGCAGAGATTGATCTTTTCTTCTCAGCTCCATCTTTGCCTCGGAGAGACTCTGCAAGCAGACAGAAAACAGAGTTACTTGTCAGCCCTGATAATTAACTTCAATTTATGCCATAGGCTATTAAACAAAGAAGAATACAGACTGACTGAGAAGTAGACTTGGGTCATTGCACATCAAAGTTTAACAAATTTTCTGCAAAAATTTTATATACTTACTAATTAGAAATGATAGAACTGATAACATTTGGCAAATGTTTGCTTACAAAATACAGTTCTATTTTTTTTTAATTCTGCAAGGCAAATAAAGTGCATTCTTACTAAAAATACGATTATAAAAATCTCAAGTTGTATTTTCTTTTAATGATGAAAAAATAAAGATTTCTGGGTAGAAAGCACATGAAAGTTAGAGTTAATTTTACTCTAAATAGAACTAAAGAACTATCATATGCCCAAACTATGCATGTGATTGAGAAAAAGGTAGACCAGGATAGCTATAAGAAAATGGTGAACTCAAGATTAAAGAGTATCACTACTATCTTTATAAATACATAGTTAGGTAGCTATGGATATTTCAGCAAACAAACAAGTTGGACTCCAAAATAAAATTCACTTGCCTCCTTGTAAATAACTCTCATGTCAAGGATAGCAACACAAATATGATAACATGCTTTAACTAATAGAGAAAGTTATAAATAATACTTGCATGCAGAATTATTTGTGTTCTATAAATATTTTCTTAGTCACAGAAGTACAAAATATGTTAATTTATATTTGCTATCTACTTTAATCTGAAATATTTATTTAGTGCAAAAATTTCATGATGCAATTGTGCAATGTTATCTTGAAGGCTTAGAATCAGAAGCTCACAATTGAGAGAAGTATTTCTAAACTTCACTTAAAATTCTGGGATGCAAAATAGTACAGGGATCAGAGGATCATTTAGCACTAAAAATCTTACTCTTTTGCCTAAAGAATTTCTAGAATAAGCTTATCAAACAGTTTTTGACTAAATTTGCTGGACGGTGAGCTAAATAACTGACTGCATCCACATAATTTTTTCTTCTTGCTGAGTTTAGCCCCATATTAACATCCATACTGTGCTTCAAAAATCTAGTAAAGAATAAACAAAATGTTATAATTTCATGTTTAAAACTCTTCTAACAGTATTCTTTTAGTGCATTCACAATGGGTAGTATTAAAAAATTGAAGAGTATAAAAAACTTAAGCTGCGTACATGCTAAACCAATTAATTCACTCTAAATGCTGGTGAATCGAAAGCCATCATGAGTTAAACCAGGTATTTTTAAATGTTAAAAGTTTTAAAATTCAGTCATTCATTTTTCAAACAATCAAGTTACTATCAAACAAATATAAATCAAAAAATTAAACAAACTATGACTACTTATGAGACACTGTATTTTGTTTTAAATCTTCACTATTAACAGATCTTCACAAACATTCCACCATAAAAATAGTCACTGATTCAAAGAAATTTTAAAAAGACGGCAAAGAATACATTTTTAAAACCATGCTGAACCTACTAATTTTGTGCCAATGCTAACATAAAGGCACTAAAGCATCATGAAATTTCTTTATTTAAAAAAGTGAAATCCTTTTAAGTTCCTTTTAAAGTCAGCATCTCTGACATCTTTCAAGCAACATAAAATTCTGTTTTTCAGATATGAAGATCAAACTAATGATCCACCACCAGTTATGCATAAAGCTTGAATTCTTTCAACAAAAAACAATACATTTGTGCCAGTCAATTCAAATTCTTCTGTTCAATAACTCCTATGACTAGAGATGCCTATTTGTGAAGGGACTTTCCAACATTCAGATCCCCAACCTTATTGAGATTGAAGCTTGCTGATCCAATCTCAGGGAATCCATGACTGTGGAATTATCATAAACCCACACTTGACTTTTCGACAATCCTATCATATACTTTCAAAGAAGATCTAACTCATAACATTAGAGTTTCTACAACATAGCTTAATCTTCTCATTTCCATTCTTTCATTTTCATGTCTCAGGGACAATGATAGGAGTCATCAAACTCTTCTAAAGCTTACACTATTTCAGGGGCATAGAAAAAAAACAAAAAGTGATATAAACAAAATTATATAATCCATACTTCCTTGAATATGAAAACAAAGAGATAATATAGTTTTTTGAGGAAAAAATCATAATTTTATAATTTACAGACCTGGAATTCTCATTTGAAAGAGGTGAATGACATCATGAAATACATCAGTGGGCCCTAAGATTGATGGGGATGTGTGTAAAACACCAAGACATAAAACATGATTCAAGAATATGTCTTTTCCCTAATACATAACCTTTTTAAATAACAAAGACAGAATATTTAAAAATCCTAACACTGAGCTTTAAAGAAAAATATATTTATATATATATATACACATCACATATACATTTACAAATACATATCCATATATCACATATATAGTTTTAAATTCAGCTTTTCTTTTCTCTTGTTCAGATTGATCTAATTAAAACCCATGATAAACTTTATGGACTCTAATATTTCCAACCAAATGACTGAAACCAAGAGGGTGTGCCTCTAGGCAGCAAGGCAACAATGATAAGCAGCAGGTTAGCCACTAATTTCTCAACCAGGGTAGATTGTGAAAGTGTGATGTTCTGATATCCAAGAAACTGTTCAGGAGAGAATAGGATAAATCAAGTTTAATAACTCTGCTCCTAATTGTTCCCCCAATGCTCAACTCTAATTACTTGGAGAACTCTCCTGACTGTCACCTGATATTAAGTTGTTGGAGGCTGAGCCTGGAACAGCAAGATAATCAATAAACATTTAGTGGGAAGAAGAATGAAGATCCTGTTAAGCAGTGGGAACCTGCAGCACCCAAAGCCCTTCTGCTCATGAGAAAACCTATGGGACAGCCATAGTGATTGCAAAGCAATAATCCAAAGCACTGTTTTTAGGCCTTGAGGCCTTTAAGCAACAGTACATTTGAGGAAAAAAGGTTAACACGGTCACCCTAATTACAGCCCACTTTCACATACTTCATATATAAGTGAAGACAAGCCAATTAGGTAGAAAGGAAGATAAGGGAAGTTTTATTTGTATACTAATTAAACCCCTGATGAAATTAAAGGAAAAACATACAGCTCTGTAATTGTGTCTGAGAAAGGTCACTTCAGGTTCAGTTATCAGAACAGCACAGCCTTGAGATATTTCACTTAATCCACAATACAGCCCTCATTTTGTACTCAGGTCTTAATATTTACCAAAAAAAAAAAAAAAATTCAAAGCCTGATACTGAATTTATCTTTAAACAGTGTTGTGAACCATTTTAGCTGTTATAAAGTTAAGGCTAGATATGATAACAAGAGTCTTTTAAAAAGCAGAAAAAATATTCTACCTACACAAGAACCAATGTCACAATATTATTTATCAAAGATTTCCAGTTTTCATTTTAAATCCAAAATGTTTTAAAGCAAATTTTTACAACGGTATCCCAAAATGACTGCATTTCAAAAGCTATTATATATTATCTTTATTGCATTTCTTTTTAGATAATGATGTCATCGCTTACCTTCATGTTCTCAGTTAAGGAAGAAAAAGCTAGTGCTTTCCCTTAAATACTATAAGAAAATATTTGCATCTGATTGTTTCCTGAAATGGTCATGAAAAGGAATTTACTACTAATGAAAGATGGCAGGAAAAGTATGGATACAAAGAAAGTAGTCAAGTATAGGAAAAGCTTAGGAATAGAATACATGGTAGATACGAATATTAAATGACCCACACATTTTTTAAATGTATTTTTTCTTGTCTATAGTTTCCGAAGTTTCTATAATAAGCATGTTTTACTACGAAATAACAAAAATTATTTTAAGTCATATATAATTTTATATTTCTAAAGCTTTCAAATGTTTATTAAGGCTAATACTTTTTAATCAATCATAAAATAAACTAAAATTCTATTACTTCACACCCATGAAAACATTTTGTGCAACAAAATATTTTTTAAATAACAACTTTATTGAGATATAATCCACATACTAAACAATTCACTCTTTTAAAGTATACAATTCAGTAGGTATTCACAGAGTTGTGCAACCATCACCGGTGGAGGTCTTTTTTGAAGTAAACTTATTTAGAAAACAAACCTTATCAAAACAATGTGGCTATATAAATATAGTATCTCTCATTGTTTCAGCAAATTCTAGTTGAAAAGTGTATGAGACATCAAAAGTGTATCATTCTGTTTGGAAATTGTTTTTGAAATAAAAAATTTATGAAATGAATTCCCTGAATTGAAATATTGAATTAATAAATGTGGTATAATATAAACATTAACATTATCTTAAAGGATATGCATATCTCTTCAACTAATATTTCTGGATGCCAAGTGAATCACCCAACATAGTTCTTTCTCATAAGCGTATAGCAGTGATTTAGACCATTAGGCCGCTAGGAAGACCAAGCCCCAGGGGATATTGCTTTTATAGATTTTCTTTCGTCTAATGGGAAATATCTATGGATCTACATTCCTACACACTAAAAGCTAATGGCTTATTCAATTTGGTATAAAAAGTTAGTCATACAAAATGAAAGGCAAGACAACAACACAAGTGTTATAAGAACTAGGCTACATTTCCTTAGTCAAAAGGAAAAAATATAACATTTAAAGAAAAATAAATTTATTGCTGTCTGACTGTTCCTATAAATAAACATCTCTAGATTGCAATAAATTTGGTTTAGAAGTGTAGTAAAATTAATGTTTGAAAAGGAAATAAGGCTATCTTCAGGCCTACTGTTACAATAAAACAACTAAAAAATTATAATTATCAATAATTAAATATTTGCTAAGTGGATCAAACTGTGCAGGCTGCCACAGAAACTATAAATATAAAGTGATACAACAACCAAATTTACAATGGAGCTGGGTAAGCAAGTTAGAAATGAAACTAAAGAATAATATTTTTTATAATAAAGCCAGAAAATCTCTAAGATAAACAATTAGATAATTTGCAATAAAAATAATAATAAAAGATGTTGGTATCT